AATTAAAAATTACACAAAAAATAAGAATTTTAAATAGTTAATTTGATACTAATATCGATATATTTTTGTCAAAATTTTATAATATCCTCAAATTTATATTTTATTCAAAAATAAAAACATCATCGTTTTTTCAAAATCACATAAGACCGTACTATAACTTCGCTATGATAAAAAAATAAAATGAAATATTAAAATCAAGATATATCTCATTGCATTGCGCGAGTACCCTTCTAATGTGTGTATATATATATATATATATATATATATAATAATCAAATTGAAATCTATTAGTTAACTTATTTAATTTTATTTACCATCTTATTTGTATTAGTCAACATATTATATATCGTTAGTAAATTGTTTAAATATACTATGAAATTTTAAACTTTATAAGAATATGTTTGGCTAGAAGTATTAAACAGTAATACTTGGTGAGGGTGATGGCCATGCCGAAGCTCTCTTCCTTGTCCTTCCTTTTTGCCTTTCAAAAAAAAAAGTATTAAACAGTAATCAATGAGAATAAAAAATAAAAAATAAAAAACTGTTTCATTTTATATAATATAATGGTTTCATCCCCTAAAAAGCCAAAATTTCATTCATTGTTAAATTGGAAAAATTAGAATTTATCTCATTTTCATTCCTATGTTTAAACCAAACATGTCCTTTTTGTTTATTGTACATTTTTTAATTAGCTTATCAGCTAGTTTTTTTTCAAACATGATTTATTCATCAACTAATTTATCAGTTACCAGTTACTTTATTACCCATCAGCTAGTTTTTTCCAAACATGGTTTATTCATCAACTAGTTTATCAGTTATCAGTTAAATTTTCATCCATCAGTTAATCTTTTTTAAACATGATTTATTCATCAATTAATTTATCAGTTATCAGTTAGTTTATTAGTTTATTTGCTAAACATAATTATAAAAAATGAAAAGGAAAGGGGAGGGGGGCCTGGGGGTGCAGTGGGTTAACCAATGGTTCACGCCAGGGGAAAAATAATTCACCAGCTCTGTTGGCCGAAAAGCAAGTTGGCTAACAGTAACGCGCCGTAGCATAGCGGCGGTGCTGACGTCAGATTTCCGTCATCTATTCTCAGGGGAAAGATCCTCCACACTTCACCCTACACCCGCTACTGTGATCTCTCGGCCTTTGTGCTCCCCAAACAAATTGATTTTGCAGCCTTTTTTCTGTTTTACTTTTATTTCCCCCCTCTTTTTAAGTTATATAAAAAGGGTATTTTTGTATTTTTTAATTTTTTTATAAAAAATAAAACTTGATACATCGTTTACGGATTTTTTAAATGGCACAAGACATGACATAACATCGAAGTCATGTTTTAAGCCTTGGAGCTTCTCCAACACTTATGTTGTATTTTTTATAAGATGGAGTATCAAAATTCAAAATCTGTAAAAAAAATTATATTTAACTTTA